AATTTGGGTATGCGTCTTGCTTCGTAACCTGGGGGACGAATTAGACCCAAAGTACTATCTCGCAATCAAGAGGTTAGGTGGGACTCGTAAGCCGGGGGACGAGCGGTACCTGATACTGAATCTTATATTTCGGAGAATGAACTGAGTTTATGTATATCTTGTGACCTAGGGGACGAATTAGGTATGAGATCGCACTCTAGGCATTATAAAATAAATTGAAATGTACGTTATGCTTCGTAACCCGAGGGACGAGCTGTATCTCAAGCTGAACCTCGTATTCCGGAAGATGAATTGAATTATTTTCTACTTCGTAACCCAGGGGACGAACGCCGAATTAGGCACCTAGGTTGCGCTTCGTAACCCAGGGGACGAATGCGGTATAATATCGCATTTCGTAGCTTATAGAACAAGTTGAAATCTACGTTATGCTTCGTAACCCGGGGGACGAACGGTATCTCAAGCTGAACCTCGTACTCCGGGAGATGAATTAACTTATTTTCTACTTCGTAACCCAGGGGACGAATGAGGTATAATATCGCATTTCGTAGCTTATAGAACAAGTTGAAATCTACGTTATGCTTCGTAACCCGGGGGACGAACGGTATCTCAAGCTGAACCTCGTACTCCGGGAGATGAATTAACTTATTTTCTACTTCGTAACCCAGGGGACGAATTAGGTATAATGTCACATTTCGTAGCTTGTAGAACAAGTTCAAATCTACGTCTTACTTCGTAACCCGGGGGACGAACGGTATCCAAAACTAAATCACAATCTTAATAATACGTATAATTTATAAGTTTCTTCATAACCCAGGGGACGATTCAGTCACAATACCGCATTATAGGGATATTATAACAAACTAAAACCTACGTTGTATTTCATAACTCAGGGGACGAATATTGTCCAACACTGAATCGCAATCCAGATGATACGTATGATTTATGTTTTTCTTCGTAACCCAGGGGACGAATGCGGTATAATATCGCATTTCGTAGCTTGCGGAACATATTGAATTCTGCGTTTTGCTTCGTACCCCAGGGGACGAACGGTGTCCAACTCTGAATCGCAATCTAGACGATACGTGTGGCTTATGAGTTTCTTCGTAACCTAGGGGACAATTTAGTCATAATGTCGCATTATGAGGACTCTATAATTAAGTTGAAACCTACGTTATGCTTCGCAGCTCGGGTAACAAATGGTATCCAAAACTAAATCGCAATCCAGATGATACGTATGATTTATGTATTTCGTCGTAACCCGGGGGACGAATTAGGGACCTGGGTTGCGCTTCGTAACCTAGAAGACGAATAGTAACTAATGCTGAATTATAATCTTGAGGATAGATTGGATTTACGTTATATTTCGTAACCTAGGGGACGAGTAGTTTCTAATACTGATTCTCGTATTCCGGAGAATGAATTGACTCAATCTACGTTTCGTAACCTAGGCGATGAATTCGGTAGGATTACTTATTTACGGATAGACGGCTATAAGATTAATAGGCATTTCCTCAAGTACTTCAGGTAGACGGTATCTCATCCTATCCCGTTGGGACGCAGGCTCTTAGCGCGTAACAGATTACGAATCTGCTCCTGGTGATCGGAGCCGGCTAGAAGTGTCAGCAGGATGGATAGGTGGCTCCGGGGTAGTAAGGCCGACAGGGGAGTTAGGTGGTTTGGAGGTGACTTAACGAGTCTGTCTATTAGAAATAGGAGATGACGTTTACGATCATGGAGATACACCTAGCAGCCCTGAAAAGCTTTGGGTACTGTCAGGATGCTGATGAGGCTAAGGTCGAACTGCATTAGGAGGTAAACTATCAGGGTAGGAGCCCGGCAGCCCTTAATGCTCGGTGCCATTGCGGTAGTGCTGAAACTGGCTCTGGGGCCCTGGAAGTCTATTCATCGGCGGCAAGCCGGCCGCTCCAATGAATACGGAAAAATCTCGCCCAAAGCATCACCTCCGATCCAACACAGGAAAAGCCTCCGCGGCGAGCGTAGAGGGATGGTCGTCCGACGTAGCCGCTTGTAGTATAGAAGAGTCCTAGTCAGGTTCGCCTTAGTCGGGTATAGCCTCCTGTTAGCCAGGGTGGTGTCCGATAGGGTTAGGCCGAGGTTGCTCTGTTTACTACTATGGGGGCCCGCATGCACGTTCGTATGGGTACCTCGAGGGCGGTGGGATGGGCAGACCGGTTACCGGCTACGGTGCTATGTTCTAGAGTTTCGGATATTATAATAGCAATATCGTATCTTAGGCGTTCTACATCAAGTTGAAATCTGCGTAATGTTTCATTTATACCTTATGGTCGACGACGCCGGTATCTTATCAACACGGCGGGACACTTACTAGCAGACACGGTCGAGGACTCCCTAGTAGACGACGGCATTCGTAACGCCTACTAGTACTTAAAATAATAAAGCGGAACGTATATCCCGCGGCCAACGCGAACGCGGCAGGCATAGGATTAGCATAGTTCGTATAGCAATCAGCCAGTATAAATATAATCATGGGATTTGTTTTTCCTTTCGTCCATAGTACCAGGTTTAAATAACACATTCGTTACCCAATATAGACAATACTATTGCAAACTATAATGCCTTCTTAGCCTTGCATGATAACTTGTGGAGTGGCCAATCTAGCCACTGGTGATCCTCCCCGCAGTATGCAGCGACCTTACAGCGGCTACATAATCGCGTTCCTGTTTCCACTAAACAAATCTTACATGGTTTTGATTTCGGGCCCTTTGCCGCATCAAATCGCTTCGTTATTAAATCCACTATGTTCTCCTCAATTTCCTCCTTCATTTTAGCCATACAGTATTGCTTGCTGCAGACAGGCTGTACTAAAACGACCACGTGAGGGTCTAGTTTTAGGTATAGGTAGCTCATTGGCGTGGATAACACCTCTGTCGCTAGCGTTTTACAGATACCACACTTTTTCGGCACGATGGAAATGCATTCCGCCTGGTGAAGCTGGACGATAGGAATTATAAACTTGGCGAATAGATGCTGGTACCTAGAGTTGATTCGTTGTACTGATAGCGGGACAAGAAGCGACGCGGGTAAGTCGTGAATACGGGTGAGCTCAGCATCTCCGCAGAAGAAGTTGAAACGTATCAGTCTCGTACCCATACTGAAAGTGCGGGGGCGGTGGTAATGGTATGAAAGATTAGAATTCCGCACCCCCGCCGGTACCCTTCCTCTATGAAGAAATAACTTTTTGCTAGACCAATGTGTTTAGTCGGCAATGGCATAAGATAAATGCGACGACGTGAGTTTGCTCCTTAACATCCTGAACCCGATTACGCATGAGAGATAAATAGGCATATTTGGACATCCATTTATAGGCGGAACAAACGGGCTGCTGGCGACAAACCGGGCCGGGCCTGGCGGGGCCGATTAACGGAGGACCCATGCCAACGGTTTACCGACTTCTAGATCAGTCTCATATACTTCTTTTTTTTCCTTATGCCTAATCTACAACATAAGGTACTTTGGTTTTTCTATCTTCTTACCGCAAAACACCAAAATAAATTAGGCTAATATAGGCATATGTAGTCGTACAAAGAAATAAGGAACGTCTAAACGTTATTAACAATCGCTTTGACGGAAATCAAAAAGCCTTGCGTACTAGCTTAGAGACCCTGAGGAAGATGTACTGAATCCTTCGAAGAGACTTTGGGTAAGAGCTACTATATTAGTCTACTACATGCCTATATAACTCACAAATTACAGGTTTCTTCTAAGAAGGGCAAAGGCATCGAGAGATTCTCGTCGGTATTACCGCAGAGAGAGGAATAGGGAAAAGCTGTCTAATCAATACACTGTTCTAATACAGCATTATACCTATCAGCCAGTCCGAGGCATGCATTGCTACGATAATTATAAAGAAAAGAAGTTTAAGGTATCTATCACCTTCTACGCTAAGAAACCGTCAAGACGGAGCTTGTTCCACTCGAAGAAGAAATAAAACAAACCCAGCAGAATATAAAAGAAGCACGGATAAATAAGTAGGCACAATTCAAGCAGCATATTTCAAACATCGAAAGTTAGGCACATTTTTCTCAAGCATATATGAATTACATCTACTAAATAACAGCTTCTAGGATATCTCAACTAATATAAGACTTCATAAGATTTCTTTCATACTATCCAGCCATCGACGTGGATGAGGAGACCACCAGGCACAAACAAGCTATCCCAAATGTCTTATAGACCCATCGCCAGCTGGTTAAGCGGCTGTTCTTGAAACTCTAAAAGTAAACGTAGCTTTCCTATAGTTAGCCCTGTCGGTTAACTCTACCTATCGCCAAGGTTACTTGGTTCTCCTTGTCGACAGTGTAATGAACGCAGTAGTCGGCGACCATTAGACCGTCTAAGCCAGTGCTATATGGACTAGAAGTACTAAAAAGGAGCTTCGTGTGTGTCTTCGCGCTGCCATTATCATTAGTAAACATGCCAAATCCCTCGATCGCTATCTAGTGAGCCCCAGGGGTTATCCTACTATGAATAAGAATAATTTGTATTACCCTTCGGTTTCATTTTTTTTTTTAACTAGATCATCTATACAAAAGTATCCTCTATAATGAAAGGAGAAACATAACCTACAGGATAGCGTTTTCAATGCCGGGTCCGGGTGAATATAGTGCCGGGCGTGACAGGGTGTCCCAGATGCTCCGTCGACGTATGCTCTATTAATAAACCATCCCCCTGCATACCCTCCACCTGGAAAACACCACCTGACATAATAAGGCTTACCAACACATACGCCCAACCGGATTTAATCACAGGTCTATAAAAGTAATTATAACTATCCTTTCCTATCTGTTATTTACTACTTAAGAAAAGTAAGCAACAGGAAGAACCGCCAGGCCGTCCATTAAAGTAAACAGCAGAATCTTAGTACCACAAGAAGATCAAAAAATCCTGGTCCTTCTACTACTTAACCTATACAACATATCGGGGTCATATCGTGTTCCTACATATAGGGACCAACCGATATGGCGACACTCAAACATCCAGTGATTACTAGTAAGCTTGGATCTAAGCGACAAAGAACTATCGTAGCCGACTCAGACGATAGTGCATCGTCCGAAGCACCAGATGTCAAGAGGATAAAAGGGTTAAGAGTCTTTCAGGATGGAGAGTCCGCTCGTGAGCAGGCGCAGCCATACCTCATACTTACTGCCCGGATGCCCATACGCGCGCTCAGCACACAATGGAGCATAGGTAAGAATCGAAAAGTTGACCAAAGGCATGTTCAGAGGTTATACAATATCTTCCTCAAAGGGCAACTCAACAGAAATGCCGAGGGCAACCACTTGTTCGTCCTCTGTAACAGGGAGGCTACCTCAAAAATGGTACAGCACCTACACTCACAAAGCAGGACGGACGAGGAGCCGCTATCATTCGCAGACTGGCTAGACGTCAACCATGGATACCTCGCCGAGGTTATGGCTGGGCAGCACCGAGTCAAAGCCTTAGAGCTATACGGACAGGCATGCGGTGTAGCCGAGGAGGATCTGTGGTGGACATGCAAGTTTTATGACAAAGGTACGTTGTGAAAAGGGGGGGTAGAGGCCGCTCAAGCCAAGTCTGACATTTCCCAATTCCTCTGGCGTAAACCTTCATCGTATTGCAATTTGCTTTTACCTAGAGGGTATAAGAAGGTATCCTAGGTCCTCACTAAAGCTTGCGAAATACAGATACATTACCGCTGGAGCTTAATCTCGGGCTACGTGTCAACCGGGCAGACCAAGCCATGCCAGACAGCCACGGACAGACATGGGTGCAGCTAGTCGCGGCAGACTCACAGGACCCAGATATGTTCCGCGGCAAGGCTGCCGAGGTCGAGGTCCAGATGGGCGCCATCCTGGGTCTTGCAGGCGAGGCAAAGTTTCCTATACGGCGCCTAGGTACGATCTGGCGTAACGAGCGCTGGAGAAGAATGACAACAACCTGGTGCGAGTCGACCGTTGGAAGAGAGACGTTCCAGATCTCAACGTGGAACTGGATGATAAGTTATAGGATTGACGACGTAAGGCATCCGCAAAGTCGCATACCAAAAGTCATTCTATAAAGATATAACCTTTATAGACGTAAAGGAGACACAAAAACATGCTAACAAATTCACATTTATAGTTCTGGTTTGCGACCTTTTATGACGTCCTGGATACTCTCAACAAACTCCCAGGAAATGCTCTAGACTACGTCTCTGCAGCCGATTGGAAGAGGCTAGCCGATGTTCTGTCAGATGGCTACGCCGATGGAGATGTTACCAAACTGTTTTATCCAAGCGGACTATTGCCATCTCCGTTATCATCACCTCGGTCACCAATACCAACCTCGTCAATACCAATAATAGAACAAGACGAAAGCTATCCAGCACGCCGCTCAGGGTTTCTTATCAATATCGACAACGAGACATACTACCAAGTACATAATTACGTTATCGAAACAAAACCAAGGGTTTCTTTTGCTAATGTTCATCGGCTTATCCGGCTGTCGAAAGAAGAGGGGCGAGCGCTTGCGGTTGTTCTAACCCATGTAGTAACGTGGCTAAATGTTGATGCTCAAGCCAGGGCTACCCTGCCCCGGCGAGATAACAATAAACCACCACTGCGGAAGGATATTATCCCAGTACTAGGGCAAATCTCACAAGAGGTCATACTCCAAGCCAAGCAGAGGGTATCTAGGAAGTTGCAATTTGCAAATACCTTTTCGGACGCGGAGATGGGATCCGTGCTACTACAGCAGGAAGTTCTTGAATACACACTGGAAAATCTCGATGCCTTCCGAGGGCCGGCTGCTAAAGCATTGATGGATCAGCCTTTTGCAGATAAGCGACACGCAGAGTATGGGGCTAGGTTTCATCATCCAGCCTGGGGCGGTATATTACATATTATCCGAAAATATGTAGGTGAAGACTTCCGGCCGGATTGGATACTGCGGCGCCAAGTAGTTGAAGACAACCCAGACAACGATTACCCAGCCCTACGCCTCGCTAGGTCCCTTTGCGGATTCATCAAAGATGCACCCGAATTTCCAAAGGATAAACTTTCAATCGCACAGGCAATCGATTCCAAGGCTTTTCAATCAGCACTGGCGCGGTGGTTCTCACAAGAAAAGTTTCAGCCCCTAGGTGATACACTAGCAGCTACCCGTGAAGCAAACTTTCGGCGTCATCAGAGCAACAACATGGCAAAAGAAGCCACAAATCCTCTCCGTATGGTTCCCATACAGGGGCCTAGCGAGATGTCCGAGAGAGTGATAGAGGCGTTAAGCAGAAGCCCCTCCGTTGTCGATCAGCCCAGAGCATCACCACCAAGAACATCGGAGACAGCACTTGAAGGTATGCTCGTCCCCCCTTTTTACTGATTTAAATACTCGTAGCCAAGAGAGCAGAGGATGCTAACTGGCCGAACCACAATCATAGCCTCAGGAGGGCAGAAAGACATAGTAAGGGACGTAGATACAAGCAGACCAGACACAGACATCACGTTACCACCTCAGCCATCGCCAGTCACCCTACATAACAGGTTTATACCAGGGTCTAATAGCAGCAGAGTAACAAGTCCGTTTCTAGTCGAATTAGACAGCAGCCCACAGAGTAGTCGAGAGGGCACTCCACAGAATTCCTTCACATGTCTTGATGTTACATCTTCCTCATCTTGCCAGCAGCAGCAGCAACAGCAGCAGCAACAGCAGCACGAGGAGCAACTGGACCAGCAACAAGAGCAGATGAAAAAACAAACGACCGGGCAAGACGGGGAAGGGCTGGGCCGCAAGTCCCCCAAGGCAGGAGGCAGAAAGCTAAACAAAACACCCTCATGGATGCGTGGGCCAAGGGCAAGCTGAGAAATGTTCCCCACTTAGTCACTTCCGCCAGACTAATAGCAGTAGATTCCTTATGTAAAACAAGCGTCAACCACCTACATAAGCCCTACCTCTCCTTGCTTTTTCATCATGCCAAACTTGACTATTAAAGCACTATCTGTCTTATGTCCTGACATAATAATTCCTCAGGTTCCATTCCAAGTCCAGCCGGCCTAAGCAAGGGGGGCGTGAATCGATGTGTCCTACGGCCACAGGCAGATCCAAAACCCAGGGGACGAACACATACCAGGCCTAAGAAATCAAGGAGGAGAAGGAGAAGAAGAAGAGGAAGAAGAAGGGACACATTACGTCGGCCGCTAAGAAGCCGGAGGGGAAAGGAAACTAGGGAAAGCGGAGGGAGAGGCGGTGTTTTTCACAACAGCCCTGCTAACACAGAGACTCCCAAATCTCTTTCCGCTCCAGGTTCTCTCGTAGCATAAACTCACAAGCGGTAATAAATCACCTTTCAGCTCGTTTAGTAGATCCTCCTACTACTATACAATAAGGTTTAAGCAGAACTACCGATTTTTTATTTATAAAGAATAGTAGCCCTCGCAAATCGTGAATATCCCCGAATAGTTACCTTTCTTCTTATCTATTAACGATATTACGTACCTGAGATCCATCCGATAGAACAAAAAGGTATCTTTCTAATTTCGTTAGCCGGGACGAACAATAGCTCAAGGGAAACTTCTAGTAGTGATATAGCTATGGACTACATCGCACAACTACCTGTATCAATTGCTAACGATGAAGACGACGGCCTTAGACCACTGATCAACCTTGAGACCACCGACAAGCTATATATCACAGATAGAACCTCGAATGGCAGCGAAACAAACGATGATAGAGGCAACCATATTCACGGAAACATATGGTCAGAATGGAAGATCAACCACGCCCTTGGTGATTACAACATGAAACGTTAGTCACCTCTCGTGTTCCCCTTCAGACCATGTCCCCCTATCGTAGGTTCAGGAGGGGCAACAGAAGATTCAGATCCAGAGTACTACTTTTTAAGCCGACTAGTAGCACCTAGTTACCCTACGGAGGTGACCACAAGTAGAATGCTAATGCCATCTGCCACGGTAAATAGCCGAGGACTTTATCCAGCAAACCGAAGACATTCGATTCAGTGGTATCAAGGCGATCGAAATGATACAACGGCGGTATACAATGGATTACGGTAGGCGCGCTGCTGGCTCAAGGCCAGCTAGCAAGGCAGACAATTATTTCCCAAAGTTCTACCTCAATATGATCAACATCGTTGGCCAGCCGCTGCAGCCATTAGCAAGCAAAAGCAGAGCCTTTGACGGCGATATTACATTTACCCTCCGAAGCTGGGACACACCATACGAGCCAGCGCCTACTGATACCGATATATCTTTCAACATCCAGCACCGCACGTTTCGCATCGCGACGTCGGCATCAGGGGAGGCATGGTTTATAGTCATGCACCCCATGATGAGTCCGACAAGGAATCCCCTAGGCACGCAAACACCCGCCACCCCTCGGGAGAAGCTTCTCCTGAAGAGAAGCGCTTTACAGCTGCATCATGCAGATGCCCTGCGATCTTATATTGACGATATACTCTCCGACCGCGCCCTGCTTATCAAAGATCTCGATCAATCAAAACCGGAGGCCAACCGGTGGGAAAAAGGCCTTCCGTCAGATAAATGGGCGAAGTTCCAGGTTCTCTTCATGGAGAGATGGCACACATTTGCGGAGATGCATACATTGGACGCCTTCTGGGCAAAGAATCAGCCAGCGTTTCACACCTATCATAACAACGCCAACATCGACATCGGAGCTAGTAATGACCTTGAAAGGCTTCCCAAGGAGACTAGACTTCGATATGATTCTACTGACGATGAAAGCGACAGCGACTTCGAATCGTACGCCCAAGTTCCCGTCCCAACCAACAGCAGGGGGAGGCAGACAGGCAACAGTTATTTACATCACCCGAATAGAAACACCAATACAAACATATTAAGAGGGCTATATACTAGTAGCCTAGCCAGTCTGCGAGACACACTCGAACGGATATACGATATCAACCACATAGAAAACATGTCCTACACGCTTGCCGCCGATCTACACGCAAGCCCCGCAGCTGCTGCCGAGACCGATGGGTCAGCCAGGGGCGAGAGAGACACGACAGGCATAGAAGTAGAAGGGGAGCACCAAGAAGATAGGAGAGAAGAAAGAGAAGAAGGCAACGACCGCGGAGCAGCAGAGGGACACGAACAAGAGAGGGAGGAGTCAGACGACGGAAACAATACACCGCCAGAGAGTTAGGGTTACTTAGGGTTACTTAGGGTTAGGGTTAGGGTTAGGGTTAGGGTTAGGGTTAGGGTTAGGGTTAGGGTTAGGGTTAGGGTTAGGGTTAAGGTTAGGGTTAGGGTTAGGGTTAG